GACATTCCCGGAAAGTACACTGCCAAGGTAAGTGGACTTATCCACAGCGATCAAAACTTCCCCCGTTCGCTGCAAAGGTAAAAATGATATGGGATAAACTGGACTTAAGGGAGGCAGAGTTGCACAAAATGTCCGCCTCACGTTTTCTGAATCATCACAGTCCAACGGCAGAACAAAAGTCCAGACTGGTGATGCCCCAGGATGCAGCAGACGACCTTGGAGCCTTCCATATCTGACCAAGCTTGGAGTGCTCCACAGCACTGAGCTGCCTCTGTGGCCACTGCAAGCAAGCTCTTCTCATCCACCCATTCTGACGAGGGACATCTTTACATACTTGTGGTGGACACCCCCCAACTTATGCACTCAGTTACCCTCCACCTGGTTTAAGCGATCTGCCCAGATGGCTTTACTGGGCGTGGCCACTGCGCCAGCTATGGCTTCTTGAAGCCACAGGTGAGAGTTGGGTGGCAGGTGGACCAAAGGTAGATGAGGGGCAGCCCTCACCCCAGAGGCGCTGGTCTTCTCTGAACACCCCTACACCCCAAATTCCCAGTACTAGGGACTTCAACACTCATATTTTTTCATTTATTTGTTTGTCTTTTTTTTTTACATTTTGAGTTCCGAATTCTCTCCCTCCCTCCTGCCCCTCCCCCACCAAGACAGAAGACGAGCATTCTATCAATTATACATGTGAAGTCATGCAAAACATTTCCATATCAGCCATTCAACATCCATATTAATAATCCCTCCATGGAATACTATTGTGCTATAAGAAATGATGAACAGGCGGACTTCAGAAAAACCTGGAAAGACTTGTATGGTCTGATGCTGAGTGAAGGGAGCAGAACCAGGAGAAAGTTGTACACAATAACAGCCATGTTGTGTGATGACTAATATTGATAAACTTAAACCTTCCTGGCAATACAAGGACCTAAGACATCTCCAGAGGCCTTGTAATGGAAAATGCTATCCACACCCCAAGAAAGAACTATGGAAGCCAAATTGTTATTTTTTTTCTCTTCTGTTGAGTTTTGTTTCCTCTTTCTGATGGTTCCTCCTATTGGTTTTAATTTCTACTTAGACCATCACTAATGTGAAAATATGTTTAATAGGAATGTAAATGTATAGCCTATATCAGATTATGTGCCGTCTTGGAGAGGGTGGTAGGGAGGAAGGGGGAGAAAAATATTAAACTAAAAAGCATATGGAAGTGATTATTGATAAATCAAAATAAATTAATAAAAAAGTAAAAAAAAACCAAAATAACATGGCAATAATAGTATCATGTTACTTATAAGAGCACAACCCAATAGAGACTGTTCTGATCTTTGTAAAAAAAAAAATCATAATCCCTCCAACATCCTAAAGTCCCAGTTCTTCACCCACTTTAGACACACACTGAGAAGGCCAGACCTAGATCTTGCCACCATAGCCCTTCTGCTTTCCAAGGACACCAGCAATCCCAATCCATCTTGGGTCCTCCAGCAGACTGTCAGCTATGTCACCCCAATTCTCTCTCACTTACCTTCAGTCTTTCCCTGATCACTGGCTGCTTCCTCACTGTTACAAACATGTCCATGTCTTCCCCGTCCTAAAAAAAAAAAAACAACAAAACAAAACCCAAGCCGCTCCATCCATCTGTCTCCACTATCCTTCTCTCTCTTCCTCTTGTAGCTAAACTCCTTGAGAAGGCTGTCTACACTGGGTGCCTCCACTTCCTCTCCTCTCACTCTCCTCTTAACTCTCCACAGTCTGCCTTCTGACTTCATCATTCAATGGAAACTGCCCTCTCCACAGGTGTCCCCCAAGGATATCTTAATTGCCCAATGCAGTGGCCTTTTGTCCATTCTCATTCTCCTTGACCTTGTCCATCACCCTCTTCTCAATACTCATCTCTAGAGTTTTCAAGACACCCCTCTCCACCCCCCCAGCTCTCCTCCTCCCTCTCAGCCTACTCCTCCTCTGTCTCTTTTGCTGGATCTTCACCCACATCATGCCCACTAACTCTGGGTATCCCTCTGGTTCTGTCCTGGGCCCTCTGCTCTTCTCCCTCTATCACACCTCACTGGGTGATCTCCTCGGCTCCTATGGATGTTGTGACCATCCATCTCTATGCTGATGATGCCCGGATCTACCTTTCCTGCCCTAATCTCTCTGCTGACCTCAGTCTCCCATCTCCAATGGCCTTTCAGACATCTCAAAGTGGATATCCAGCAGATATCTTCAATTGACCAGGTGTCTTTCCCCTTAAACCCTCCCTTCTTCTTAACTTTCACGTCACCCAGCCTGGCATCCCAACTCCTCACCTCCATCCCTGCCCCCCAAATGCAATCTGTTGACAGGGCCTGTCCATTTCACCTCCGGCCCTGTCTCTGCCCTGGTTCAGAAGCTCATCATCTCACACCTGGATTACTACACTAGCTGCTGGTAGGCCTCCCTGCCTCAGTCTCTCCTCCATCCAGACCATCTTCCACTTGGTTGTCAAAGTGATCTCTCTAAAGTGCAGGGCTGATCAAGTCACTTCCTACTTAACAGACTCCAGTGGGTCCCTATCACCTCCAGGGTCACATATAAAACCCTCTGGCACTCAAAGCTCTTCATCACCTAGTGCCCACCTCCCAGTCTTCATGCACCACACACA